GTACCGACACGCGACACGGAACCATACATACAGAAGTAGGTAGATAGGTAGATGAGTAAGTAGGCACGTAAGTATAAACAAAGATAGACCAAATAGTAGATAGACATACAGACAGGTAGATAGGGAGATAGAACACCTGACACACATATAGATTGGAATAAAGACAGATAGGTAGAGAGATAGACGGATGGATGGACAGATAGACAGATAGATAGATACACACGTAGGATCCGTGGATATACAGATGGACAAAAGATTTGTTAGATAGACCGATAGATTGAACAAAAACTATGAAGATAGAGAGATAGGTAGATACACAGATGGACAGGTGGATAGATATGTAGTTGGACAGATGAAAGCTAGACAGATAGATAGTTACACAGATAGACACAGATGGGTCGACAAGAAAAGTTGATAGACCGATGGTAGGTCGACGAACCGATAGAGACAGCTGGAGACAGACAGGGAAATCGATAGAAAGATATACGGACGAATGCGTAGGTATAGCCAGACCGGTAGACCGATAGGTAGATAGATAGATAGATAGATAGATAGATAGACAGGTAGACAGATAGATAGATAGATGGATAGATAGATAGATCGATAGATAGATAGATCGACCGATAAATAGATAGATAGATATATATATATATATAGCTAGATAGCTAGATAGCTAGCTAGATAGATAGATAGATCGATAGAGCAACAGATAGATAGGTCGATAGATTTTTAGGTCGATAGATAGAAAGCTACATGGACCGACATATGGATAACAGATAGAGGGATGCACGGATACATAGTTGGATGGATACAGCTAGATTCGATGGAGACAGACAGAGAGATGGATGGAGAGATAGATCGAGATAAAAAAGTTGATAGAGACCCCTATCGAGAGATGGATAGGCGGATAGGTGGGTAGGCAGATAGACAGATAGACCGATAAATGGACGTTAGGCAAATAAGTGGATGGATAGATAGATGGGTAGGTCGGTAGGTAAGTAGGTTTGTTGGTAAACAGATTGGTCGACCGACAGAGGTAGAGAAAGAGATGGATGGAGACATAGATAGAATGAGCGATAGACATAGAGAGACCGATAGAAAGTTGGATGGACAGATAGGTGGGTAGGTCGCCAGATAGATAGATAGATACACATAAATAGACAGAGAGGCAGCAAACAAGAGAGAGAGAGAGAGATAACAAAAAGAGAGACAGTGATAATTCGTGCACCAGCCGCGGCTGAGGGGAGCCGCCTCAAGCCCAGCAACTAATCTAATAGCATTTGGGCACTACAAGGGCAAGGGTACTGTAAAAAATGTAGTGCCCAAAAAACAAGAGGAGCACTATGATTTGCGGGACAATGCGCGCAGGTGAGTCGCAAGAGTATCTGAAGCTTGGACCCTAGCAGCTTGATACTATCTGAACGGGGCGAACCATAAGGGAGGCACCCAATCTTCCGGACTCAAAGCAGTGCTCAGCGCAAATGGCGAACAAGGGACAGCCGTTATTGACAAGGAAGCGGCGTGCATTCTATGAAACCTGCAGCTCCCGCCAGTGCTTGGAGGAGCCCCGTCATCCCACTCAGGCTTTGTCGATTAAGGTTGTCAAGGTTTGCAGCTGTTGAGTGGGCTGCCCTGTGGGTCGCGGCCCTCTCAGCATTGAAACTGCCAGTCCACAATGAACTGAGCAGTGCTATTCCAGACCTTGGAAGTGGCGTGCAAATAGGGCAGATTTGAGTATGTGGCACGAAGAAACTGAACGGAAGGGGTAATTGATCTTGCCGGCACGGAGGAGGTCGATACCACTCATGCCGGCACTGATGGTAATGGTGATGAGACGCAAACCGTCACGATGCTGCACAGTTGATGATAGACGGTGCTAGAACGACTGTGCGCATGTTGGAAACTAATTAATCAGAGACGGAAAGTTGCAGGTCTGTCTCTGGCAGCGGTAGCAGTCGTCGTCCTAGTCGGCATCTTCGTCGACCGGTAGTGCTAGGTGTCATCGCAGCACTATCTGCAGCACGGCTGTGGCATCATATGCAGCAGCCGCATTCCTAGTGGTCGTGGTGGTGATGGTGGTGGTGGCGGCTGCGGTCATGCCGGTGGGTGGCAATGCTACAAATCCGGCTCGTAGCCTGTCGCTGCCAATGCTAAAAAGAGGGGGCGTGGGGAAGCAGGGTTTATGACAAGTGGTGAAGATTGTGTCCATCCACAGTAGGAGGTGGATTCGTCGTCGAACTGGCAATAGCAGCAAGCAAGCAGCAAGGGCTGTTGCAAGCGTTCTTGCTGTAGTTCCAGTCGGTTGGCAACGGCCTTGTGACTGTAGCTCAGTCTTCGCCCAAGTGCTCGGACGGCTCGAGAGGGCATCTCTTGAGCCTTTCTCCACTTGCCCCTCGTTCTGGGCTGGGCTAACACAACAAACCATGCTATAGGGCTGGGTAACTTTAACTGCATCCTCGGGGCTGTCAGAAAGTTGAATATCCGGCGGTTTGTGCCGTCGTTGACGCAGTTTGTGCCGTCGACGGCCTCGCCGTCAGCGGAGGAAGCGTGCTCCTCAGCTTCTGCCTCATGGATCGGGCACGACGCGCTAGCATGACGACGTTCATGTCTTACGATGGGGAACTCGCGGCACCACGAAAATCCATGATTGGAATAAGGAATGATCCTCCCAACTAAGACTCCAGATGCGAGACATCTGAGACACATGCAGGTGCGCAAGTGCGCTACTTCGACACATGTGCTCACGGAAGATGATCTTCTTGCTTCTGCAGATGCCCTTGCGAACCTATGTCTTTGCCTGGCCTTTCATTAAAACCTACCGAAATTTTTCATGCACGCACAGTGCATACTTTTGCCGGCAACAACCACGACAACAAGTAGTACGACGACGACATGACAACCACCACCACCACCACCACCACCACCACCACCAAAACCACTACCACCAAAACCACCACCACCACCGCCGCCACCACCACCTCCGCCGCCGCCACCACAACCACCACCACCACCACAACGACGACAACACAGCAACGACGCCGACAACGACCACAACCTCAGCAAAGACAAGAACAATGACAACAAGCATCAGAACCAAGCGAAGGACGACCACAACGACGATTGTGACGACGACGACGACCACAAGGAACGACGACGACCACAAAAACGATAAGGCCAACAACTACCCGACGACAACGACAACAACGACGACGAACACGACGACGACGACGACGACGACCGAAATCACGACAAGCACAACGACAACGACGACAACAACCACGACACGCGCAACGACGGCAACGACAACGACAAAAACGGCGACCACAACGACGACAACACCGACCGACCGACCAAACAGATAACCCGACCGCCCTGTCGTTCGGGTTTCCAATAAGTAGTATCCTGTCAGCAAAGCTCGACACTCCGTAGAGCCTCCGGTCATCATCAGCGTCATCGCCCTCGTCACCGTTACCGCCTTCACCCACGCAACAATATGCGTGAATATCATCACGGTTACGCTATGTTACTGTACCATCGCCATCACCCTGATCATTGCCACCACCACAACTAGCATCACCTTGAGGAACATCTGCTGAATGATAACCATCATCTTCATCGTCATCGACCGTGGTCGGTGCGGGTGGGGCATGGCGAAAGACACGCCCCCTGCAATGTCATGACACAAAGCCCGGACTTTTTTCCAAAGGAGACACAAATTGAATCCCCCAAAAACGGGTCTTAGAAGTTGTTGTGGCTCAGAATCGGAACAGGTCACCGCGGCTTCAAGACTGGGGAATCAGGGCCATTGTTTTGCGTCTCAGCGGCGCGCTGGGAAGCGGTACCTCTTGGCCCTCGGCATACACCGTCTTTCTCGTCTCCTTCAACCCGCGCGAGAATCCACGCCAGTACCTCAAAATGCATGAAGGCGTCACTTGCAAAGATCTCTCTCTCTCTCTCTCTCTCTCTCTCGCACTCAGGTCACCTGTCAGCCGCGACGCGAGACACAGCGATTTCGCTATGCGCGTGTATCTACAACGAAGTGCAATGGACCTTTAAGGCAGGCTTGGCAGGATTTTCAGGGCGATTCTCTGTTTCGACGCTCGTACTCGAACTCTTCAGGCGAGGCAGATGTGCGGACGATTCTCGGCTTCAGGCGGGTGGTTGAGAGGTGCGCGGTGCAAGTTTTGCAAACAATACAGATTCATCAGAACCTGCCTGCACAGTCTACCCTTCACTCACGGCTCAACGACACACCAACATGAAACTGATCCTAGCAATCTGAACAGGCACGACATCACTGCAGAACCTGCGCGGTAGCTAGCGCCTTCGCAGTATGTGCCTGAACTCTGCAGTTTGCAACAAGGCTTTCAAAGAAGACGGATTTGATTTGGGTCGCTCGAGGCCACATGGTTTTGAGTTATGATGACTCTAAGACTTCGAATGTTAAGTACAGAGGTGAAAGCCCTAAGAGCTGCGAAAACCTGAAACCCGCAACGCCACAACCTGTAGCGCCAAACGTTGCCGCCGACTCCTACCGCCCTCCCATCATGATCGAAACCCAGTACACCCCAGACCCCTCAGAGCTGAAATGTTAAAAATCTAAACACCCCAAACACGTCTTCCAGTGCATCCAGGGGGCTCTTGATTCAGCTCTAGGCCTTGCCCTTAGGAGACATGAGTGCATGTGGTTAAAGGCCTCTCAGGGTAAAGGTGAAGTCTCTGGACGGGGTTGTTTTCCAGCATTGAGGTCGCCAAGACCATGTTCAAACGACGGGTCTTTCTCTCACCACTGATTTCACCACTGTGGCCAGGATTTTTACCATGACACTCATTGAGTATCTCCCTCCCCTGAGCCGTGGGCGAAGCTTTTTCACCTCCTCGGCCAAGATGTCGTAGCCACCCTGGGCTGCCACCCAAGTCGAGAATTCTGCACTCGAACTTCGCAAGACTCCATCCCTGAAGCCTAACACCGCAAACATTTTCCCCAAAGGCTGAAACTCTAACCCCCCAAATCAAGTTGTCGCCCCTTGCCCGCCTGAAGGTTGGAGACCTGGTCACCCACCCCTTCCAGCTTCGACTGCTCCTGGAAGATCATGTCCTCAAAAGGCAAGGTACATGTACATGTACTGGTGGAGCATATATATATATATATATATATATAGATAGCGTCGCCATCCCCCCCCCTCCCCCCCCCAATGGTATCCCCCCTACACCCCCCTCCACAATTATGCTTCCCTTCACCTGGCTGTGGTGTATGCCATGCTCCGTCACGGCCCTCCCTGCAAAATGGGTGGCTCATGCTGGTTCCCCCCCTGTGGTGTGGTCGTGGGTTTGGGGTTGTTCCCCCTGTGGTGTGGTGGTGGGTTGTGGGTTGCAGGTTTAGAGTTTAACCCCCGTCTCGCGCCTGTGGCGTGGTGTGCTGTGGTGGGGGTTGTTGGGTTCAGGGTTTCGGGTTTGCGCTCGCACCCCCCCTGTTTACAGGGTTTAGGTGTATAGATATGAAAGGGTTTAGGGTTGAGGGTCCGCAGCTGGGCGCAGCGCAGACCGAAACCATGGCCCATCCAGGTGAGTGTCGCCACTTTGGACACGACGAAAATGCATAGCTTCAGAAGTCACAACACTCACGAGGATCGCGGGTTCGGGGGG